TTTACATGTTTCTTGTCTGAGACACAAACTTGAGAAGAACAGATTTTTTATTGTTCACTGTGGCTTTTTTTTGTATTTTAGGGAAGGGTGTATAGGGTGTTCAGGGTCTCACTACTAGATCAGACTCATAGTGGTCCACCTGTTTACAGCATCCCAAGAGCTGGGATTATAGGCGCATGCCACCAAGCCCAGTCTCAATCGCCATGTCAGCTCTACTGGGGCCGGCTTGGCAGGCCCAGGGATCAAACCCCTGGCCCCTGTGCCTGCTTGCAGGTTTATTACTCTGAGCTATTTGGCCAGCACTTACCGTGCCTTTGTTTTTTTTTTTTTTTTTTGGAACCGGGGATTGAACTCAGACCCTTGTGTTTGCCAGGCAAGCGCTTATTCTACTGAGCTATCTCCCTGGCCCCTGTGGCATTGTTTTTAAATTTTTTATTTATTTATTTTGCAGTGCTGAGTGTTGAACCAAGGGTCTTTGAGCTGAGCTTCACCTTCAGCTTTTAAAATATTATTATTTTTATCATTATCGTTATTACTGTTATGAGATAGGGTCTCACTATGTAGTTCAGGCTAGTTTTGAACTTATTATGTAGCCAGGCTGGTCTTGAACTCTTCCTGCCTCAGTCTTTGCAGTGCTGGGATTACAGGCCTCCACCACCACACCCAGTTTTATTTTTTATTTTGATACAAGGTCCTACTAATAGTTAAATTGCAAAATTGCCCAGGCTGGGCTCAAACTGACAATCTTTCAGCATTAACTTCCCAGAGTACTATGATTATAGATGTGTATCAACCACACTCAGCTAAAGCTGTATTTTATTTTTATTTTTTATTTATTTATTTTTTCTGTATTTAGTACAGGTTCTACAGGGTTTTACTACATAGATCGGACTCATAGTGATTCTCCTGTTTTCCGCCTCCCAAGTGCTGGGATTATAGGATCTCCCCACCATGCCCAGTCTCAATCACCATCATGCTGAGTCTCAATCACCGTCATGCCACACGGGCAGGGCCCGCATAGCAAGTTGGGGACCCTGGCAGCTGTGCTCTGCTGAAGCAGGCCCTTTAGTCTGCTGAGCTATCAGGCCAGCCCTTAATGCTGTATTTTAAATGGCCATTAAAAGTGTTCAATAAATAGTCAATGATAGGGTGTGGTGGCACATGCCTGTAATCCCAATACTTGGTAGGCTGAGGCAGGAGAACCATTGTGAAGTGTATATGTTTTGTTTTAGACAGGGTCCCCCTGTGCAGTTTGGACTGGCCTTGTGCTCACTTTTGTAGCCCCCCAGGCTTGTCTTGAAGTTGCAGTGATCCTCTCATCTCAACCTCATGAATGTTGGGATTACAGGTGTGCACCACTGTGCCCAGGTTTACTGGAATGGTGTACGGGCCCAGGAATGGAGCTTGGGTCCTTGAGCTTACCAGGTAGGTGCTTTATGCCTATGAGCTAGTGTAGGCAGCTAAATTAGATAGAAATATTATAGGCAGTCAGACAGGGCCGGGCCCTCAAGGAGACAGCATGGAAGACAAGATACATTACAACTGTGAGAGAGATGGATGCTCCTACTGTGGGTCAGATCTAAAGACCAAAGATCTTTTAGATTGAACAAATGGTTACCTCCCTGAAGACAGGCATCTGAGATTGATCATCACCTTGAGAAAGCCAAGAATAGTCACTAATCCAACCACTACCAGCTGGCTGCCAGATAAACTCCTGTTCTATATTCATACCCGCTTGCTACCTGACTCGCTTCCTCATTTGGTTCTGAATTTAATCAACTTTACCTGAGCAATGGTGCTTGTAATCTCATTGGTTGACCATAGTTTTGTCCCGCCTCATGCCCACCTAAGCCAGTTCCCATGTTCTCCACCTTAGACCCACATGTTTTTACTCTATAAAGTCCCTGAAAGAGACAGCTTCCTGGGGACAACCCGCTGGGGTCCACCTTCTGTTCTTCTCAGACAGAAACTTTCTTTCCCCAAATATATATGTTGCTCTTAATCTGTTTGTTCCTAAAATTCATTCTTCAGTTTTAGAGAGCACGAACTCATCCAGGTACCTTTCAGGTAGCAAGTTTCATTTCCTTATATCACTATCTCCCCAACCCCTCACTGCGAGTTTGAGACCAGCCTGGGCTACAAAGTGAGCTCAAGGACAGCCTATGCTGCATAGCAAAACCCTATCTCAAAGACAAAGACAACCAAACAAAGAAATAGCCAAAGAATAAATTTCTTGGGGGCCAACTTTGTAATCCTCTTGATGTCTAACACACTACCTTGAATGCAGTAAAATATTCAGTAAAAATATGGTGAATGAACTAGGATGGAAGAACACTAATATTCTTCTGCAGTTTACTTCTGTCTTAGTTACTCTTCTCTCGTTGCTGGGACAAATACCCGACAGTCAAAATGAAGGAAGGAAAGGTTTATTTAGCTCACAGTTACTGGAGGTTTCAGTTCATACACAGCTGGGTCCAACGCAGAGCAGCACAGAGCAAAAAGCAACCTTTCATGGTGG